AAGGTCTATTCTGAGTTCAAAAATATATATCTATAGATCTATATATCTATAGATATATAGATCTATAGATATATAGTAGCACAGCACCATACCAATTAAGGCACATTGCACTGCTGAATATGGAACACACTACACTAGGGGAGGATAGGAGTTGGCATCAGAGAGTGGATATCCAACCCACAAGCACTGTCAGGTCTTTGAGAAGAGAACTACTAAGAGAGTGAACCAGGATCACAGACCATGGAAGGGTTGGTGAAGAGCTTTCACATTATCAGAATAAAAAGAAGCCAAGAACTGGCCAATTCTTCTTAGGTAGAAAGGTAAAATCGGGTGCAAAAAAGTAGCAAACGCTTCAGGGAGAAATAGAAGGGCAACAGCCATTTGACTGGGATGAATAATGGAAACTTTCATGGAAAAGATGACACTTGCTGAATCTTGGATGGATAGCAAAGACTACAAAATGAGCAAACATATGTAGGCAGGAAAGGCCAAAACCCTAGGATTACAATGTTGGGGCACTAGAGTGGACAGAAAAATCTTTTTCTGGTATAACATGAGCCTCCTCAGGCAACAAATGGCAATGTACAAAACAACACTGGTTTTGGTTTGTATACCTGAAGGTACAAGTAAACCTACAGTTGGTCTGATGCCTTTTTTCCTATCCCAAAGTGATATAAATGCATCTTAGAAAACAATGCTGAGTCACACATGAGAAAATAAAAATTACATGTAGTAACAATACCCACAGCTTTGAACTATTAAAATTTTGATGCAATCTTTTCAGTCACAAAAAATTACAAAACAAAATGATGCTATTCATGCCCATTCTTCGGCACGTACTTCTCATATCCTTCTGCCAGGACAGAGTGGCACACAATGCAGACAGGAATCCTCACATCCTTACAGTCTAGTGGAGAATGAAATCAGTAAGAGACAGATGTGATCAGTGTGATCAGCTAATTTCATTTGCTATTTGTCGTTTGACAAAGATACTGTATTTAATTATTACAATCCCATTAATGATTTCTCTTCATTATACTATGGAGATCTAATACTGGGTTTTCTGAAAATCTTTAATATGACAAGAAAACATTCTGCTGGAAAACCTTCCAGCTGGGCTGGCACTGGCAAGCAAAATCTCTATTCACTTTTACCTCTTTCTTCCATTCTGGCAAGCTAACTATACTTTCACCACAGGAAGAGTCCAAAGATGGGATCACCAGGGTCTATAAATCATTAGTAACAAATATCTGCAAGGAAATGTCAAGTTATAGCGACTTTCCTTACCAAGAAGATTATCCCAATTTCATGAACCATGGGAAATTTTGGAACTATCTCCAAGAATACGCTGAACACTTTGGTCTCCTCAAATACATTGAGTTCAAGGTAAGATATTTTGGATTATGGAAACATAATAAATGAGCTTGGCCTATTCAGCAGTCTTCTAGAAATTAGATGTTTATGTGAACTTCTTGATTTTTAGCTCTCCACAAGGCAGTTAACAAACTCCCCTCATTCCTCATACTGCTCCTCCTCTTTTACACAAATGAATCATTAAAATGCTAAATTCCTAACTCCTGCTCTAAATGATAAACTTTCACAGAGGGTGAAATTCAGAACTATTTTTCTCAGAGCTAAATAATTTTTTCTGAAGTAATGGAGAAGTAACTAAGAGTCTGAACCATAAAAAGCATAATTCAGCAAAACTCATTTTCCTAAAGCATCAGATATTGTAACTCATTTACTTCTCAGCAAGAAAAACTGACTCATCTTTCCTCTGAAATCTTTCTGTCTTGGGTTCTCATCTACATGTTACTGTATTTGAAAGTTATAACAAGTTCCTTACACTTTCTGAGAACAAGATAAAGCAGTATTTACAGACCTCCTAACACAGGATATATATTTAAAGTAACACATAACAGTACCATGTCAGTCATTACACAAGGTTCAAAGGTTTTGGTAGGAAGGTGAGTCTCTTGTTTGTATGATGATCTGCTGCTGTTGTTGTTGTTGTTGTTTGAATTTTGCTTTTCTGGGACAGAAGCTTGCTATATAGCCCTGGTGACCTCACACTAGTGATTCTCCTATATCAGCCTCCCAAATGCTGGGTTACAGCAATGCACTACTGTACCTGACAATGATTTGTGTTTACTTGTAGACTACTGTGTGCAGCATAACGAAGTGTCTAGACTTCTCTGAAACTGGGCAGTGGGATGTTGTCACAGAGACAAAAGGCAAGCAGAACAGAGCTGTCTTGGATGCTGTCATGGTTTGCACTGGACGTTTCCTGAATCCAAATTGACCTTTGGAGTTCTTTCCTGGTGAGTCATTTCCAACAGAGACTGTGCCTACTCTTTTAGGTTCTTTTGAAAAAAAATTTACTGATTTGTGAGTAGAAATACATTCAGGTGATTAGAGACAACTTTCTACTCACTCTCAAGAGTAATAGCTACAAAATTACATTGAAAGGTACAAAGCACTACATAAATTCAGTTCTTATGAATTTATTCATATCAGTGTTATTGTGTAAGCTTTATCTTTCATGTTGAAGCCAAGTTCAGTTATCAAATAAAACACAAAACTATGAAATTTGTAATGGAAAAAGCAAGACAGAAGTTTCAATTTGGGGAGCTGAGTTACAGATAAATTGAATCAGAACTGACCAGTAATTGAAGGTTGAAGGGAAAATA